CACAAACCGAATTGGTCGGAAACAGAAACATTAAAAATATGGGAATCATATATGGCGGTGCAAAACAACACGTCTCCTGTGGCATCTGTGAATATCAACTTAGGTAAACACAGCAATATTTAGTTGCCGTTGCATCATAACTGTAAAATGTTGAAAATAAAAAATCACAACAAAAGAACAGTACAAGGCACACTGATAAACACGAATAGTTGATCTTACGCCGTTGTCAACGTTGCTAAAAATACCTCACAAAGAATCATCAGCTAAAACATAAACCACTTAAAAGTTTGTTCTCAAGCCATCGAAGTAGAAACATACATTTCATCAACTACTTAATAGTACTCAAAAAAAAAAAAAAAAAAAACGCATAAGTTGAAGAAACACTGATGAGACCTGTAATAAAACGAATGAATTTTTGAATTTACACCACAAAAAAGAAGAGAATAGATAAATAAATTAAGGAAAATAAACCGGTATAAATAAAAATTTCCTAACTTTATTCCTCACTTTCGTTGCGTCTATGACACAAAGAGATAACTCTAAGTAAAATTGCCACCTAGCAGCTACAAGCAACCAGATATGGCTGTGGCAAATCTGTACCATGCTATATGAATCTAAATGAATTACGCGTAAGTTCGGGATGTAAATTTACAAACGGCATTTGATGACGATGAAAGCAAAAACTATAAAACTAGTCACAAAAAAAAAAAAAATCTTCCGCTGCATGCAGCCAAGAAAAAGAAACGATTGCGCATTTTGTAGCACAGGACGTATACCCGAGTGATGATAGGTTTGCTGAACACCTTACATTCACTCCGGTATATGTATACAAGTTCTTTATTAATGCAAACTAAGATATATCACACACTCATACTTACACACGAACACACACACACACACACACACACACACACACACACACACATACACACACACAAACAAACAAACAAACAAACAAACAAACACACACACACATACATACATACACACAGACACAAACACACACATACACAAACAAACAAACAAACAAACACGCTCACGCACAAATAACATACAAAAAAACACTCACTCACTAACTCACTCGTATATATATATTTATATATATAATTTATATAATGTACATAATATACATATAATACATGTAATATGTACTACATATTATATATATATACATATATATATATATATATATATATATACATATATATATATGTTATACATAATATATAATATATATTATATATCATATATTACATATATAGTATGTATAAATATATAATATATATAATATACGCAGAATATAAAATATATACAATATACGTAATATAGTATAAATAATATCTATATACATTAGTTATGCATATCATGTGTTACATAAAAAATACATATAAAACGTAAAAACGCAAATATTTATAAATACATAAGCAATATACAGAAATACGCCAAATTTCCTTGCTGGCAAATTGCCGAGTAAGCAACTAACGTGATATAGAACAAATTCGCGTCAAAAAGCATTTCATTTGAGAGCAACAGGAGTCTACGCTCATAAGGTTTACACTAAGTCGTAGCATGATTGATC